CGTGCGTTGTATAACACTCGTATCACAATGAGAGTGTTGTTTTTTAGTATACTACATATAAACTACACTCTCAAAATTTATCTCGATTAAATTTGATTTTATAACAGAAATAATTTGGTTGTTCTTGATATAATAAGAATTATTAATATGTCCAAATTGTCCACGTTCTGTTTACACAACAGTTCGTATGTCCAGTGAAACACAACTAGAATTATAATAATTAGTTTGAATGTTCATTTGGCCAAAACGAACTCATATTTATTTGATTGCTATTATTTATACAAAAACATTAATTATGTTATTTATTTAATTAAACAATAAAACCTTATGTGTTAATCAAGATAAATAACGTTTGTTACACTTACCCTCTTTTTGAAAAGTTAATTTGCCGTTTTTGCAGCTAAATACTTGCAAACACGCGTCCAAATTTCAAATGACGAGCACAAAACCGGCGTCTCGACGCCCAACAAGGAACTGGATTTGATAGAACGTAAACGCTGCTGCAAAGCACGTGTATAGCAAACATGCGCTTTACAACTTGTTCAAAGCTTAGGGTTTTTAAATTACAGTTTGGTAATATGTTATAGTGTCAACAGATAATGACTAAAATCTTTAGATAAGAATCACTTAGAAAAAAAATCAATCACAATTTTTATAGAGTTGCCAATTCTACTAGCTAATTTAAAAGCTCCAACAGACAAAATTTTCATAAATTTTTAAAATTAAATAATTAAATACTTGAAAAATGTGGTTAAATTTACGTACGCAGGAAGTGTGTTTGTTGTTGGAAATGTCATGTGAAGTCTAATCGAGATGTTGTTTTTCCGTATAAGTTACTACTGGTACTAGGAAGTAATTTGTTTCTTGTAAAGCTTGATGTATGAACAAAAGATGCAGAAAGCTTTAAAGAATCATCTTTAAGAAAAAATAAATGTGAGATATTGGTCTGGTACTATTAAAAGTTTCTGTGGAAAAATCCTGGTGTTTATTTAAAACCGTAGTAAAAATGTCTGTTTACTTTTGTTTCAAAATTGCGATGAAACTCCTTCGCCTTTCATCACCGGATTTAATACCAGAAAGCCGAACGAGCTCGCGGGCAAAAACGACAAACTAGCGAAGTCTCCAAGTACATACGTCAATATTAACACAAGCCGCTCAAAATGACATTCAACTGTGGATTTCGAGACAACATGGCAAACACAACTTTGCAGTAGTGGGTATGCTGATGCGCAGATGCTTTTTACTGATGAAAAATTACCAGGATCATCGTCCAAAAAATTTCATCTGCGACATAAAACTATTAATCTGGTGTCAGAGCTCCACAACTCCGATCTTTGTATGAAAAAGCTATGGCAATTTTCTTGGCCATAAATACACTAATGTGCCAACTCTTCTGCTCGAGTTTATTTCCGTATAAAAGAAATAGAAGCCTTATTCGGACTGAAAAGAAAACATATTATGTACTTTAGCGATGCCTTTACACAGAGAGCTTTCGTTGGTTTTAACATAATAGTTCCGGTACTTTTGTTACGACTGCAGGTCTGCCTGCAGGATGTCTGTGTTTCGGCCTAATGGACTGTAGACTTGTTCAAGTAGGTTACTTTATTTGTTAAGAGCGTGAGTCGAATGCTTTCTTGTTAATTTAACGCAATGTTCTGTTTACGTTGGCTAAATATTTTACAAGGTTACTGGAATTTAATTCGTGTTGTTCGTTGGCACCTCCCCAAAACGACGTTCTTACGAATTTTAAATGAAATCGGATAAATGAAAGCATCTGATGTATACTGCTACTATCTTCGAACGAGCTTTCCCCGAATTCGGCCAGATAACCCGCATTTTCATAAAAATAATGACCGGTGAATTGTACGAAATTTTTCTCCATTTAAAAAAACATTAACCCACCCATTTATCCAAGTTTAAAGTTATAAAATTTATACAGGGGCAGAAATTTCGAAGCCATTCAAACGTAAAAAAATCGTAAAACTTAAAACTCCATTAACATTAATTTGAACCCAATATTTTATAGATTTATATCACCATTTTTTAAATTTAAATAAAACTTGCTTTTAATTTTTTTTTAATAAGCATTTATAAATTTATGTTTACAAT